GGCCTCCAATTTAGACTTCTAGCAGTGAAATTATACCACTAGTTCCTTCCCCAGCCCCATCTCCCACATTCAGTCTGCTATCAAGTCCACTTCATTAACCTCTTCTGCATCCTTTCTTCCCTGTGTGCTTCCTTTACCTTCTCCAGGGCATAAACACTCGTTGTGCATTGTTGTACTGTACATCAGTCTTCTGACTAGCTTCCCTGCCTCTGATTTCTCCCATCTTTCCATCCATCCTGGACAATAACCACTGCAATAATCTAATATAGTGCTTCAGATGGTTGTTTTTTCAAGGCAACCCTGCTAAGAAGTGCCATGCAGAGATGCAAGCCTAGACAGCCCGCTCTTGAGTCTGTGCTCAGAACTATGACTGTCCTGCTCATCTTCTGTGATCTGACACAGAATACTTTTCCAAGTTTTCCTTCTCCCAATACAAGGGATGACTTATTTGTTCTTCTTCTAACAAGCTTCCTTACTATCTTTTAGGATGCTTTTGCCTACATATAACAAACCCAAGTGGCTTAAACACTAAGACCTGGAGGTAGGATAGTTCCAGAAGTATTTAACAGCATAGCTTAACATCAAGCCTACAGCAGAGATGCCCTCCAGCTTCCAGCTGTATTATGTGCAACATGATCTCAGGTGAGTTCCTTTCATGGTTGAAAGATGATATCACGGTTCCAGAAGCATATACAGATGCAAAAATCTACTAAGAAAAAAAAAAAAAAGGCCATGGCCCACTGTGCATCATACTTTCAGCTGAACAATCTTTTCCTGTCCGCTCCTCCTATCACTGCCTCTTCTGCTAGACCTCCCATAATGCTTCATTGGCCAGAGCTGTCTCCCATCACCGGGAAATTTATAAGCAAAACAATGTGAAGCCAGACAAACTTCGTAGATTCCAAACTTTTTGAGATATGCCCTGTATATCATATATTATAACTCAGTACACACATAAATACATTTTATATACATACATGAAACACAAATGAAAGTTTCATAAAATAAAGTCCATCTTTTCTATACAATGCATCCACAGTTTTTCTATTCTATGACATCCTTCACTTGTACTATTTGCTAAAATTGGGACATTTCAAACTCAGGATGTTCCAGCTTACTGTTGAAAGCACTGATATTTTTATTTATAATTTAAAAAATTGACATTCTTCAGTATTTTGTAAGTCACAGAAAATAAATCCAGTATTCTTTTAAATTCAAGAGCTAGTTTCTTTTGATGATACTAGTAAGGTAAAAGGTCATGGAGTTCAATTAATTTACTTTAAAATATTTCTTTTAAATAATATCCAAAGAATAAATCATCAAAGCTTAGTGAGTGAAGACTGAGTTTCTCCTCCTTGTTTAAAATGTCTAGGGATCTGGGAGCACTTGGTCCTATCTCAGGTCTCTCTTTTCCTGATTCATCTTGTGGGTGACCTCTGAGAAAGGTCATCCTCTAGTCCTAAATCACATGAGGCTAAACATGGGGCTGCCATTTTTTTCTCTACAATCACCCCCACCCTTAGAACCTTGCTGGGTTAAGCCAAAGGCCTTATACAAATCCTGGTCTTTGTATCCCTCAAGCATATCACCCTGCAAAGCTGGCTCTTCCCAGCCCTATGGTCATTTGTATTTTTACAATAGTACTCTGACATATCTACTACATGTGAGCATCTACTAGGTACAAAGCACTGAGTGAGACCACAGGGAACCTCATGTTGCCTTTGCTTAAGCAGCCTAGAATCTAACAACAGGTAAGCCTACAAACAGCCACAAAAGAGATCATTTAATAATGGAGATTTCCCAGAAAGGTTGCTGTCTACCTTTGTGGAGTAGCCTCTGAGTGCCAGGTACTGTGCTAGTCCATGTGTATAAACTACCTCAGCAAGAAGCCTGATCATTTTGTAGTATCATAGCTCTGTTTTGCAGAAGTAGAAAATGAAGCTCAAAGAACTCCAAGAATTCCTCCATCCATATATTCTTAGTGGGCAGCAAAGCTCAAGTGAAGCTTTTTATTTTCATGTCATTTTCTCTGTATCCCCAGGCAGAAAAGAATTTTATCCAAACAAAAGGAAACGGTATTTGAAATAGGTCTTTGAAACAGAAGGAATGTATTTTCTTCAGGATGGGGTCAGAGCAGGGGTGCTGGGTGTAGAGGACAGCCTTTTCCATGAGCCTCACAAATAGGAACAAGCAACTTGGGGTTAGAGCATGAAAAATAGTATCATTTGGTCACTACATGGGGTGTCCTTAGGGGAGTGAAAGAAAGCAAATCTGGAAACAGAGGTTAGGATAGAAGTTTCTAAATTTTAATTTCCCCCGCTTATTTATTTGATACAGTAGAGGTTTCCAGAAGGAGGAAGCCCTTTTCTGCAGCTTGTTCACAAGACTGAGTCAAGAGGCAGGAAGAGAGGAATCCTTCTTAAAATTATAATGACATCTTATATTCCTTTGTGACCCTCACTGCAAAACTCAGAGCTTTACAACCAGTAGGTCTGTAGTTCACATCTAGTGAATGAAGAAAAGACAAAGTATATTTTCTGCTGTTTTTCCAAGTTCCTTAAGGAAAGGTCAGGGCAAGTGTAGCATAGTGGACAGAAGGGAAAAGGGCTGGCTAAGCAAGGCTCAGGGCAAGTTTAACTCTTCTACTACCCAGACCTCCAGATGAGTGATCTAAATAATATGAGCTCTAATCAGGTCAGATATGGCCTCTTCTCCTGTGATGTAGAAGTGGCATTTTACAGGGCAGAAAATATTCAGTAAAGAAAAACAAACGTAGCAGAGAAAAATATTTTAAAGGATTTCCAGTGAGATTCCCATAATAAATAATTCTATGGCTTATACTAATATATCTTCAAGTCACATTTTATTACACCAATTTGGTATTTTGCTTTACACTGAGGAAGGCAGCAGTCTAAATCCCTTACTTCTTGCCTTGTGGCCTAGGTAAGGAGAGTGAACACGACATAGTGCACCACAGCCCTGGGTGCAACTTTGTGTACAAATTCAGCTTCAAAGGCTTTGAAAATTGTTAATTAATACACAGATTAAATCCAAACAGGAAGAGGCTAAAATTCATGGAAGAACAGTTTTTTCAAGATTAATTCACACAGCTGTATGGCCAGATAAAAATTAGCTCCCTTGCAGATACAGTCACAGCATGAAAAAAGTGAAGCCAAAGCTGGGCATGGAGTGACAAGAAGAGACAGAAAGAAGGGAGGCAAGATGAAAAAAGGAAATTATGCCTTAAAGATGCATCTGTTTCTGGTACACTGGGGACTTTGACATATTCATAAATGCTAACTTGATAAATGAGAATATAAGTAGCTGTAACAGGAGTAACAATCATATGGATTGGATCGATGGCCTCTTCCATTGGCTATTATAGGCTAATTGGGATGCAGTATAGGGGTGGACTTGCCACAATTAAAGTAGCAAAATTTAGGCATAAAATGTCAGAGATTTTCATGATAATGTTATCCAATAATTATTGCATGCAGAAATTGGATGGATAGTGTTGACTTGGGATGAGTGTGATTTTGATATCATGCAATAGCCAAGTTTTCAGAAACACTTGGGGCTTATTCCTGCAAAGATGTCCTTTCAAGAAACAGCTGCATCTGGAAGAGCATCAGGGAATCCAGTGTTGAGTCACCATGTAGCCAAGACCACCACATGTGTAGATACAGAGAGATAAAATATTACTTTCAACCTGCACTGAGCATAAACATCCATTTTGTGAAAGGATTTTAAGACCAACGTGTATTAACATGCAATGCATATTAACTACTACATTTGTCCATAAAACATGATGAGGTATTTTCATTTAAGTCAAACTGCAATTAATTAATATTAAGAAGTTTGTTCAGACCAAAAAAATCTTCAAGCTGCAGACCTATATTAAACTCTGAGGAGCACAATCCAACAATTCTGTCTCTTTCTCTGTTTCCTATTCTCTTTATAATTTTCTACATACAATAAATGCATTACCAGGTAGCACTAAATTAAACATAAGAAAGCTTATTTCTTGGAAAACACAGATTCTAAAATTAAAAATTTGATCTTCTTCCAAAGTATTTCCATATAAATGTGTGAGTTTGTCTGATGTTATTTTCTTTTGTTTTACTTCTGTACAGGGAGCTTTTATGGAGAATAATTAAATATCCTATGAAATGTGCTACTTTTCACTTGTGAATTTTAATATTGCTAACATTGAGGCATTTGGTAAAACTCTGACTCTCTGACCTGATTTGCCAAGTCTTGACTGTCTATCCCAGTAGATCCTTGAGTGAAGACACCCTGAAGCTATATGGGGCGATAGGATTTCTTTTAAGTGAAGGAAAATGGAAAGTTTATTACAGAAAAGAAGTGCATCAGGCTACTCCATGGTAGAGCAGTCTGGAGTGATGTTTACATTCTGGTAAAAATAAAATAAGATGAAACTCTTCTCTTGTAACTGAGCTTACTTTATCCCTTGCTGTACTATCTTACTTCTGAACTGTGGTTTCTGGACAATGACTCTATAGGACAGTAAGGGTAGTCAGGGAGAGCTCAATTTGAAGGCTTCCTACTGTCCTAAATTTGGAAGAGAAACTATTATGAATTGGTTGACCTGCCTTGCTTCACAAATGAGGAAAACTTAGCCCTAAAAGTTTAAGACTTTTCCCAATCGCTTCATTAGTATCCATTCCAGAGTTAAGAATCTAACTCTTTTGCTCTCAAGTCAGAGTTCTGCAACTTATGTTACCATGATGTAGAAAAGCAAACTAAAATTTGTCATCATAAAATAAAGCAGAACTTTCTCATGAAAAGGGTTAAGAAATTGCAATAGAGAAGATAAATTTCAATGTATGGGTTCAGTTCAAGTATCTTGTTTCCAGAGAGATGGATGGCCCTGTGCAACACCTGTGACATGCCCTACACACCATTCCTTCCTCAGCTATCTAAGATCCTTGCTCTCCATCTTTATATAATCACATGTGATACTATAAACATATGTTTGTAAGCCTATCTTCTTCACTAGTTGTTAGATTCATTGAGAATAGAATAACTTAAATGAATTTTGTTAAGGGATAGTAACTACAGAAAATAAAGCATTTTGTTTCTATCTCAAGAAAAAAATAATAATGCCAGCTTCGTAAGATTGCTATGCAGTCTAAATATATTTTAATGTATGTTAAGTACGTCACATTGGGCACTTTACTGTGTCACATTACATACTAATAGCTTAATAACATGTTTCTATTGCATGATCATTCAACCTTTCTCCTGGAACGATCCAAAAGTTCTGTAATACCTCACATGCTATTGATTGCATTTTAGCATTCATTGATTAAGAAAAGGTAAATGGATGAATGAATTTTTGGATGCCTAATTTTGCAACTTTGCAAACTCTCAAGGGTCCCTCACTACAGGCTGGAATTTTGTGAATTGTAGATTGTCCCAGTACCTAAAATGAAGCTTATGAGATATCATGAGTTACTGCAATGGAGCAAATATTCACATTATGGGCAAAGAACAAAAGTCTGAGAGCAAGGGAGGAAGAGACAGAACAAAAAAGACAAAAAGTCATCATTGCCTCCTACTTGTAAAAAAATCTCAAGTTTCCTAGGTTATTGTCAGCATGTAACAATTTCATTGCTTTCCATCCTTTACCCCACAAAGGTACCTCATGTTGCTAGACAATACTGGAAAGGACATACACACACACATACACACACACACACAAAAGTAACTCAAGAAAACTACATAGAAGAAAAACAAACAACGTTCGATTATGTTTCTTATAAACGTTAAGAGTTTCAATTAGATTTCTTGCACTTTTCTCCCACTGTTTTATTTGTAAGGACTATTCTATTTCACATGACAGGAATTCAACCTGAATGGTTTAAGAAAACAAACAAATAAGAGAAAGGTGTAAAGAACTTACTGACTTGCTGAAAAGTCTAAGAACAGTGTAGGTTCAAGTAGGGCGTATCCAGGACTCTAAAAAAAAAAGAAAGAAAAAGTTACCAAAAGTCAGTTTCTCTCTGGCTATAATTTCTTTCAAAGTAGGTAATACTTTCAGCCAGGCTCTCCCCTCATGATGAAAGGTTTGTAGAAGCTCTAGAGAATAGCCACTGCAGAAAGAAAGGCTTTATGGGCAATGCTCCCCACAAATTCTTGTGATTAGCAGCTAGGTCTGTGTGTTCTATATATAATTCAATCACAGAGGCCAAAAGGATGAAATGTATTGGGATGACCAGCCATCTTGATTTTCAGAATGGCCCTGGGACTGGCATTGCAAATCCTATGTCCCAGGAAGCCTTTCAATCCCAGGCAAACCAGGATGGTTTGTCAACCCCAGTTTACATGACTTCCACTGGGCTTGCTTCCAAATGACAGTAGCCAAGATGGGGCTGTGGGGAATTCCCCTTCATCTACACATGAACTAGAGGGCTATGCTGACTGACATGGTGGTCACATGTACCTGCTGAGCACTTGATATGTGGTGCTCTACAATTTAGTTTGGACATAAGTCTTAATTAAGATGTGTAAAAGTATGAAATACACATCAGATTTCAAAAACTTAATATGGAAAAATAATATAAGATATTAGTAATTTTATTTTTATGCATTTACTTGGTAATGTTTTAGATAAATTGAGTTAAAGAAAATATTAAAAATTAAAAATTTATTGCAGCTGAGCATGGTGGCATATGCTTATAATTCCAGCACTTAGAAGTCTGAGGCAGGAGGATCATGAATTAGAGGTCTGTCTGGGCTACAAAATGAGTTCAAGATCAGTATGGGCTAAACAGCAAGACTTTGACTCCAAATGAAATTCACCTGCTTCTTTTTACTCTTTTAATGAATTGAGTAGAAAATTTTAAATTACATATGTAGCATATCTCTAAGGTTTTTTTGAAAAGGAAGCTGCATTTGTGTCATGTATAATTGAGGGTCTATTAAAAATATTAAAAAGATACTTTGTTCAAGAATCTTAAACAAAAAGTGATAGGTAATATCAAACTAGGAACAATGGGATAAAAAATGTCAAACTCAATCATTTCTGTCCTCATGTGGGCAGGAAGAGATCTACATGTTAGAGATTTTGTCCCAAAAAAGAGAAGGCATTTGTCCCTCAGAAGCCCACAGACTAGAAAAGGAAAAAGATAAGTGAAAAAGAATTGTTTTAAATACAAAACAATGTTGGAAATATAACTTCCATATTTTGACTTATATTATTATTAAATAAATAAATAATATTAATAAATTATAAATAAATAAATTATGTTAATTTGTTATTAAGTTATATTATATTAAGTTATTAATATAATATAAATTATAAATTTATATTAATTTATAAATTATATTAGTTTTTTTATTATCCAGACCCTACATTTTCTCTTTCTATTGCATGTCAAGTTCCTTAATAATAGGGATATCATACTACCAAATTTTTTGCAGCCAATGGCATGTGTTTCAGCACCTCATTTTATTTAGCATTTCTCCATTTCACCAGAGACAGTTTAGTCCAAGGAAACTTAAAGGGCCCATGTTCAAATACAGTGTCCAGTTTACAATGGTTCCACTTGTCATTTTTCAGCTTCATGATAGTGTTAAAGCAGTACACATTCAGTAGAAAGCAGGCTTCATGCTTCCAGTTTTTCTATGGCTAATGACACGTGGTGTGGTTCTCTCTCCTCATGCTGGGCAGTGGCAGCAAACCATGGCTCCAAATCAGCCACACCATCACGAGGTGGGAACAACTGATTCTCTGCAGTGGATTATGTTGCTGGGCTGTGATGCTCATTAAGTTAGCTGTATTAAGTGTATTTTCAACTTAAGATATTTTCAATTTATAATGAGAATATTGGGAATAACCCCACTATAGATGAAAAAACATCTGTATTGCCAATGTCTACTGCCAATTCACTTGCCGATTAACCCGTGTACCTTGTTTTCCACTAAATATATTGAGAAACAAGATCCTGAGTGACTAGTAGAATGCACACACAAACACACACGTGTGTGCACACACACTCACAAATAAAACTTTTGCTTACAACTTAGCTTCTTATTGTTAATCATCTGAAAATACCAAATGCTCATAACCCTCCCACTTACTGTAACTGTGCAACTGCAGAACAGCTATTTTCAAGCATTGGAAGGGTTCTGCATGCTAGCAATTGAGTTCCCTTTAAACATCCTTGAGAATGTTTATTTGAAAAGATTACCTTGTTTTCCTTCAGGATTAAGACATGGTCACTGCAGAGAGGGATGATTTGGAAAGATGACAAGAAGTTTTTGATAGTCCCTCAGAGATTACCCCTGCTAAATGACGATTCCTACGGAAAAACAAAATGCATTCTAGCCCACACACGTTTCAGACATTTTTCAAACACCTAGATTAGAGAAGATAGGTATTACAAATAACATATTTGTTGGAGAGAGTGAAGAAATCACAAACTCGCTTGGATAAACACTATTAAATGCATACTTAACAAGCCAGTTGCGACAGTTCCCCTCTGGCTCTCCCTGACAAGCTTGACTCCAGCTGTAAATTAGGTTGCAAAACTTCCTTGTCAGAGAACTCACCCTGTTAGGAGGACTCAGCCCTGGCTTTAAATCCACAAGGACAGAAAAATCAATGTGACAGAAAAGCAGTTGCTTGTGTTGGGCGTAAGCAAGGAGAAAAGGGAGTTTAAGTTAATCATGATTTAAGAATGTAGCAGAACAGTACACAGGCATATTTTCCTAGTGTCTCTGAGAAAGGGGAAAGGGAGCCTAGAGCACTTTGTATATGCTAACCTCAGAAACTGCCCTTTTTCACAAACAGGACTCCGAGTTTACTGTGGGAATAAGAAAGCATTGTTGATCACGTATAAACAGTTAGGATGCATCAAATCTACTAACTTTTGACTGATGCAGTGCTTATTATCCATGTGCAGAGTGGAGATAAATGAATTTCATCTTCTCTCTTTGAATCTGTGAACTGGGTTATGTAACCTGGGAGGATTTCAGGTTATATAGTAAATCTTAACCTCTCACAAAAGAAACAGGAATCTGGATGAGGGAAAGTAATTTTTTGGGCTGGTTTATATCTTGAAGCAGAGACTTTGAAATGGTCAATAAGACCTTCTAAGGTCACTGCTAGATTGCCATTGAGGTGTGAGCCACCATAGATAGAGGTGAGCACCACCTCAGCCATCAATCTCTGTTGGCCAGCTGAGGCCACTTCAATTAGATGTCTGCCTCTATTACCAATGTAGATAACTGAATCTCTTCATTAGAAAGAATAACATCTCAGCTGTCTACAGACTGACTTTGTCTTTCTAGAAGTCAAGTCAACCAGCCATAGTCCTTTAATTCTGCAAAGCATCTCTAACCAGCAGGACCATGATTTTGTAAGGCCTGAGAAAAACACCACTCTCAACTGTGCCAGTTGTTTGTCACATGGTACAACTGTTACTCCTCAGAGTTGTCTATTCTGTAAGTGTAGAGACAATCTGATGAAGACCCAATAGAGTTTTCACATATCATCTCTATTATCATAAAACAATCATAAAGCACAAGATGTTCTACCAAGAACCTCACAAAAGAAGTGTGTAGCTAGCTATTGCTCCTACCCACTGGGACTCATGAGAGAAAATACAGATCACTTAATCTATGAAAATGTGCAAGTACATATGAGCAATGGTATATGAACGATGAATCAGTAGAAAATGGAAAATAAAAGCATCTAAAGAAAACTGAGTTGCAGAAATGAATCATATAATAAATATGATTATCATAAGCCTTTTAAATAACAAATTTTGAAATTTAGAATAAGAAAAGAAAAAAATTATGTTGCTATATGTACTTGGTGCACCTGAAGTTGCACTAAAAACATGGCCAGCTAACATATGGTTGCTTTATGATAGACTCTTTTGGAGAGCTTTGGGTATTAAGCAAGTTTCAAAATCAAAACCACTCCATTTTCTGGCAAAGAATGCATAGCCATCAGTGCCGTCTTCTTTGAACCTGAAGAACAGGCTTTACTTGTACCAAGGGAAATTATCAGGAAGGCTTGTGGACTCTCCCTCTCAGGAGAGCTTTATAAATAGGATAACTTTTCACCTGTTTTGTGTGGCTTTCTCTAAAAGCAAATAATAAGCAATGAAGTCTTTTCAAAACCCTCTTTAGTTCTCTCATCTGGGTTATTCTCCAGTCACTCCACCTATTTGATTTTTCCCCATCTTGCAGTCAACACTTGGGAGGAAGGACCATTAGAGAAGTAAAATAGTTAATAAATATTCAAACCTTTCTATATTCCAAGAGCTACTTAATACTCTACTTTACAAAAAGAGACAAAAAAAAATTACAATCTTCTTGTCTAGACCAAATCCATAGCCCACAAAGAACTTATCATGTACTGAGTCCTATGTTCAGCATTTTGCATGAATAATTTTATTCAATCAATCTAACAGCAACCCTATAAAACAGACACTTTATTATTCCCATTATAAATGAGAAAATGAAGCATTAGAAATTTTGCCCTCCACAACCTAACAGAAGAAGGACCTATTGGAGCTAAGACTAGTGTAATTAATTTCTCATGGTAGCTGTAATAAATTATAACAAACTCAGTGGCTTATATCAACATAATTTTTTCCCTTTTATAGTTCTGGAGTCAGGAGTCTGATATCAGTTACAGTGAGCTAAAAACAAGGGATCTGCAGAGCTATAGACCCTATAGACTCCTTTCTTTCTGGAAGCTGTACAGGAGAATCTATCTTCTTACCTTGGGCAGAATGGTTGATACTTCATTCCTTGGCTTCTAGCCTGGTATCACATCATCTTTTCTCTCCTGCTCTTGCATCATATCTATTTCCCTCTTTATCAAATTTTCTTCTGTCTCCCCTCTCTTATAAAGACACTCACGATTATACTCAGGACCTACCTGAATAATTCAGAATAATCTGTCCATCTCAAGATCCTTAACTTAATTGCATCTGCACCATCCCTTTTGCCATGTAAAGTAGCATTCACAGGTTCCAGGCATTAGTTCCAGGGTATCTTTGAGGGTCATGATTCAGCACTCACACTAAGCAGTGTATATCTTCTTCTTAAGTGAGTAATTCTTGCTAAACCACATGACTGATCTTCAGCAAGTGGGCGGATATATAATATAAATAAAAGATCAAAAATTAAGTCATTTTTATCAACAGTCACACAAAGTAGTGACAAGAGCTCCGGACTCTTAGTCAAGACATGGCGTTCTTATCATTAAACAGAAATGCAATACTGAAGAGGTCTCAATGTGTGTACCAACTCTAATCTATAGAATTAAAAACAGATTCCAACAAATCTTTTCAAGTTTCATGGAACCCAACTATCAGTGTCTTCTCTACATCATCCCTAGAGACCCTTTTAATTCTGCCTGTATATTATCAAAGATTGTATCAATTATTGATTACTACATAACAAAATACCCTGAAACATATAAGCTTAAAAAAACAAACAATTATCTCAAAATTTCTGTGGGTCTGGAATTTGGAAGTAGCTTTCCTAGGAGCTCCAGCTCAGAGTCCTTTATGAGACTGCAATCAACATATGAGTTGGGGTGCAATTTTCCGAAGGCTTCTCTGGAGCTGGAGAAACTACTTCAAGATGACTCACTCACATGGTTGTTGTAAAAGGCCTCACATCATCTTTTCAACATGGCATAATCCATATGCTACTTGAGTGTCCTAACAACATGGTGACTGGCTTCCCATAGTACAAATTATCCAAGAGAGAAAGAGCAAAGCAGAAACCACAATAGGTTCTATGAGCTAGCCTTGGGAGTGACAGAATACCACTTATGCAGGCCATTGATCCCACAGACTTACCCTTCCCTCCTGCATGGCTATGGGCATTGCATCAGGGCATGAATACCAACAGGTACAGCTGAGGCTCTCTTAGAGGCTAATTACTACAATAACTGACTGAACTTGTGCTTCCATGACAGGACTTCCATGTTGGTGTCTAACAACAGACCTTATGAGCATGCAGAATCTGTAAGGGAGAAAAAGTAGTATCTTTTCCTAACCTATTGCAAGGGTCATGGCTGAGAGGCCTGTAACAAAAAAGATTTACAAGAGAATAGCATATGAATTTATTTTGTGTAAATTTTGCATGACACAAGAGTCTTCTGAAATGAAGACTCAAAGAAAACCAGAAAATCTGTGTTTATTGACAGTTATACATAAGTATGATTGGAAGACAAAAGCATGTGCCCTAATAGAAATAACTGGGGGAATTTAAAAATGTGTGTTTCTTCAGATTCTTTTCCATGTCTTTGAGTCTTGGTCTCTTCCTCTGGATTTAGGGGAGATATCTCTAGAATGGTCTTATTACCTGGTTTAGAGGAAGATCAGAGAGTTCTTTTATGGCCTTCTTCAGGGGAGAATGACAGGAAAAAGTCAGAGAGAACTTATTACTTATGCTGTTCTCTAAAAAGCTAGGGCAACATATTTTGGGGTAGCATGTCCTAAGCCCTGCAAAACCCTCTGTTATAACGTGTGATGGTTATAAGTACTTGTGGCTTTGAAACTATTATAACACTTACATTTTTAAGAGCATAGTTCTAGCAAGACAGAAAAACTAACTTTCACCACTTTTATTCAATATAGTACTTGAAACCCTAGCCAGAACAATCAGGCAAGAGAAAGAAATAAAGAAATCAAAACTGGGAATCAGAACAAATTGTCATTGTTTGCAAATGATATGATCTTATACATAGAAAATCCCCCCAAAAAATCACCAAAAAAACTGGTGAAACTAATAAAATAATTCAGCAAAGTTGAAGGGTTCAAAGTCAACATGCAAAAAACAGTAGCATTGACTGTCCACATCCCTCAGAATGAGCTACAGATTAAATGAAATTCCTATCACAAAACCAGTAGCTTTCTTCACAGAGTGAGGAAAAAACAATTCTAAAATGTGTACGGAAGCACACACACACACACACAAAGACCAAGTAGCCGAGCCATCTTCATCAAAAAGAACAATCAGGAGACATTATATTACCTGATTTCAAAACAAAATACAAAACTATATGCATCAAAACAGCATGATATTTGCATAAAATCAACACATAGACCAATGCAACACAATAAAGAGCTTATAAATATACAGCCAACTGATTTGTGACAAAAATGGTAAGAGCATGCATTGGAAAAATTGTATCTTCTCAATTTTTGCTCCTGGGAAAATTGGATATCTACATACAAAAGAATGAAACTACACCCCTTCCTCTTAGCAATTACAAAAATCAACTCAAATTGGATTGAAGACTTAAAGTAATACCTAAAATTAAGAAACT